TCATATAAGGCTGTGCTAACTCAAAGTGGGGGTCGGGTGTGAAATGACATTGAGGGGGTCGGGGTGATCAAGGGGAGTGGAATGAATACAATTATTTTTTTGGTGACATAACAAACAAAGAGGGATATCTTACTAACCCAAATCTTCAATTTCAATTACATTCAACTTCACGTCAAGTATTACACAAATTAATCCATCTTTAACGAGTGGGAGGAGGGCAGGACATTTCCAGCCTATGGAAAAAATAATTAGAAAATCCCTTATATAACAGGATTGTTAAAAAATGGTTGTTTGAACATTATGCAGGGAAGCTAATAATATCATCTTCATATGATTTCTGTCATTTTCTTTTCCCGTAGAATCCAACGCAGCATTTCTTACCTGACAGACCAGTACACCTTGAATTTAAGCCAACAAGATTACAGCGGACCCTCTGCACCCCCTTTGGTCTGATCATGAACTAAGCGACAATGGTCTTGAAAAATGAATGTGGAATTCCAATGTGGAAGTGCAAATTCCTGCAGTTCCTTGAGTGTCCGCTTGAGGCTGGCTCCAGGAACACCGGAAGTCACAAACACAAACAAAAAAGCAGTTTTTACTGCATAAATAAACATGTTTACAACCTGGTTAAAAAAACGAAATAGGTCTGATTAGTTATTGTCATCACTGGCACAAAATGCACGGGGGAGAATTCAAAATGAAACGGGTCTGTTTTGATATTTAAAATTATTTGTGTTATCTACAGTTAGGCATGTAGCTGACATGATTGACAGGTGGGCGGGATGTAACGGTTCGTCAAGATGCTTAAAAACCATCCTCAGCTCCAGCTCTCAGCCTGTTTTTAGGTTGATGGAAAGTTAGGCTGAGACAGGATTGTCCATTAATATTTACAGTCTATGGTTTGAACTCTTGACTTCGGGGCACAGCTGACCAGGATGAGGACTAGAAGAGGCGTCACATCCAACTGTAATAAGATCTGATCATACAGGATGAACTTGGCACTCTGCACTTTATTGAAATTGCTACATGTAATCATGTGATGCTTTAATGATGTATTTTAATTTTGTTTTTATGTTCTGTCCTGTCATGAACTCTTGGACATAAATCAGCATGATAAGAACTCACTATAATGACAGCCACCATGTTGGAGAAGCATCTGTTTAAATGTAGGAGGCAGGGCTTATGACCTTTTACTGCAGCCAGTTATTAAGGCAACGTCCAAATGTTTTGGCTTCACTTTTAGAGGAGCTGTCATGTCGTCCATCTTTTTACACAGTCTATGGCGCCAACTCTCAAAGATTGGATTAAGGCTACTGACAGCACCATGAAGTGAGCATCAATTACCTCTGCTATCTGCTCTTTACAATGTTTGATTGGTTAAGCATAACGGCCTCATGATAATCAGCCTGAAAGATTTGTAGCCAGTAAGACACGCAGAGATCTTTGTCAGTGAATATCACAAAGTTGTATTAGTGTTCATATGAATCACAAAGAGCTTTTCAAGTCCAACATTTAAAGAAATACAAACAGGGGTCAGATAGTCTCTCCTAAAAGATAGCTCAGTGGAAAAGTGGGTTAAACAAAGCACAGGGTAAATAGACAAGTATTTATATAACAAATGTTAACTCTATCTTAGGCAGAAATAAGTCTCTCTCTTTTTTTTTACACAAAAGTCAACGAATGCAGAAGTAGTCACACAGTCTCCTCTGATTTAGACTCCTACATATGTAAAGGTCCTTAGTTCCTGCTGCACGGCTTTCAGTATAAAAAGTTAACAATTACAAAACAACTCAAAATGACACAAAAACACTTAAAACACACGGAGACGTGATTATATTTCAGTCAGAAGAGAGTACAAATATAAAGTGATTCTTATTTTTTAAACAAGGTGAAAATTAACGTTTTGAAATGTGAAGAGTCTTCGGTGATCAGACGCCGTCATGACATCATCGTGTGGAGGAACTGATGATGTCATGAGTTCAATGGGAATATCTGCAGACTCGTGGTGGTGATGGTGATGGTGATGATGATGATGATTATGATGATGATGATGAAGAGAAGCAGTTGGAGACGTTGATGAATGAAATGTGGAGTTGGGCTTTTGATGAGCTCAGTGAGAGGAAACGTGGTGGGCGTTAGAATGCAGAAAAGAGAATTTTAATCAAATCTATGTTGATAAAAGATAAGCTTTAGTCAAATTGAATGCATGCCCATCTTTACAGTAAAAAAATGGGTGAGAAGAGAAGAGAGTGGATGTGCTTTTGACAAGACGGGAACTTATGGAGGAAGAACTCTGATAATCCTCCAAAGCTGAGGAAACTTCTTGAAAGAAGTTAACACGACTATTTTGGAAGATTAGGTTTAAAAGTGTCGTAGGTTGGTGCACACCAGGAAGGGAAATAACAACACATCTCTTAGATCTTAACAAGAAAGGATTCAAGAGATTCAATATATTCTTTAAAGGTTTTTCTTGAGCAATGTCTTCTGAATTGATTTGAAACATTTCCCTACTTTCTTACTGTTTCAAGTCACTGAACAGTCACGTTGCAGATCTGGATTATTTGTCTCTTGGCTCAACAGCCTAAGCAGACATTAAAGAGGACATATTATCCACCTTTTTCACCTTTTCAAACGATCCCCTGTGGTCTAAATGAAACATCTGTGCTGTGCTTTGGTCAAAATATAACATGAATCAAGCACCAGAGGAGGTTTAAACCAGCTCTCTCAGAACACTCCGTTTTGGTGTGTGTGTCTCTTTAAATTCAATGTGACCCCCCTGAGTTTTCCTGGTAGACATCACTCCTCTGTAGAAAGAATAAAACAGTGTTGATCTAGGCTGGGGGTGGAGTCCATGTGTGGAGATACCAGGGCAGGGGAGGGTATTTTCTTTATACCAGACACCCACTGTGACATCACAAGGACAGCATATTTGAAACGGAGCATTTTTCTCTGTGTTGTAAGACTTATGCAGACCACAAACAAAGGACTGGATGGGTTTATTTCACATTTTGTGGGTCGGTTGACACTCAGGTTACCCAAATATATGTTCAAAAACACTGTAAAAGTGGATTTTTTTATAATATGTCCTCTTTAATTTACTTTAGAGTTTAACCTAAAGCCATTCAGTTTCTTGCAATGTTGGTCATTATTAGATTTCCTCTCACATTGGCAGCATTATAAATGATATGTCCTGATAAATACTGATATATTTTCCAATATAGTAAACATATATTGTGCTCATTCCCTATTTCCCTACTTTATCCCTAAGACCCAGAAGGAGGTGATATAAAAAATAGAAGAGCAGAAAGAAGGCGTGAAAGAGGCAACATTAAGGCAACAGTTAATGGAAACTGGATCAAGATGAGGTTGGTTTAACTTAGAAAGTGAATGTTCATGATGAGCTGATTAAAGTAAAAAGGTCTAGGAACAGAAAGAGAGAAAGGGATAGAAAATGTAAATGAAATGGCGAGCAGAAAGACGTTTTTCCAGATTGAAACTCTGCTATGTTCATATAATGTACACACACAAACACACATTTTCCCACATTTGTATCATGTCACAATCATCATCCACAGTGTGACACAGTCCATGTGGGGAAGCATCGTGGGGGAAAAAAAGACTCTGTACAAAAGCTACATGTAGCTCTGGGTGTGAAGGAGGAGGAGCTGAGGGGTGGAGTCGCCTCACAGCAAATATTTGGATGTGTTAATGTTATTTTTTCCAGAAGTGACCAGTCCACTATGAGTTTTTGATGTGGAGAAAAATGCTGCAAATTCTGAAACACATGCAAAAAGTCCAAAACAAATGCAATGGCGAGAACACGCTGCAAACGCATAAATGATGCAAAGACAAAAAAAGCACAAACACAGAAAACAAATGCAAAAGAAAAAACACTGCAAATCCAGACATCCCAGCTGAAGTGCTGCGAGGCCTGCATGTGGTTGCACTCAGTGAAAAGGTTTGATATGCACGGGAGGGAGAGTCTGGATTCACAGCGTTTTTTCGTTTGTTTGTTTTTGACTTCGTTCACTGTACATGCAGCTTTCCCTTGTTTTGAACTTCTGCATGTGCTTCTGAATTTGCGGCATGTAATGGAAACAGTTTGGGCTGTTTGCAGCATGGTTGCCCTCGTTGGCCACCGAAGAATAGACTTGTGAGAAATCCGATAACTGCGGGGTGGTTTTGGTTCATTTTCAGTGTTCACATGATGACACCCAACAGTGCTGTATTTTTAACTCAGTGCTGAATCGCTGCCTTTCAACTCCCTACTGCCTCATCAATATCAAAGCTCATTAATGAGAAAGCTGTTAAGAGAGAGAAAAAAAAAAAAACCTCACAGAGTGGTATTCTATGTTCACATAAAATTAAAGATTTTGAAATGTTTGACATGGTGAAAATCAAAATCAACCAATAACCATAAAGCAGAACAGTTACCTCCAACATTTATGCAAAAGTAGGCAGAAATTTACGAGAAAATGGATCCTCTGGTAATCATCGACATAACTGTTGATTATCAATGGATCCTCATGGTGGAAATATTTGTTTTTCAATTAAAGGAATAGTTTGGGATTGTAGTGAAGTTGTATGAGCTACTTATCAACAACAAGTGAAATACAAACAGTAATCTACTGCTGATACAACCCCACTCTGAAAGAACGTCAAAGTATCCCTTTAACCTCCAGACAGTTGTTTACTTTACCCCGAGGAAATACATCTGGCAGCATTATGGCTGTTGTTGTAAACAGCTTCACGATCACAGCAGAGGGCTCCCGTCTTATTGCTACATGTTAAGATGCTTTGTTGCTACAGATGCTAACCAAACCCTGAATAATAGCAAACACTCATTGCACTGCTTTTCATGTTCAGCCTGGATGTTTAGTCAATCAAAAGGACAGGAAAGTTGTTGAGTTTCCCAAACAGCTGAACACCCTCAGAGTTCAAATTACTTTAGATCTGTTTCCAAGGGATCCAACATTTTTCACACTGGACCATATTTGTTAATGGAAATTCTCCAGTAAATCTGTTTGGTTTGAAAATGACAGGTTTACTCGTGAGGTATGAGCTCATAACTTAACTATAACTCGTGATTCAAAACTGACCTCAGTAAGAAAAGAGAGAAGGATTGTCCATTCATGTGAGCAGCTTCATTCTGACACACCAACAGATGAAGAAGTCCTGAACAGGCTGTGTGTTTGGACTGAGTCTGTTCAGTTCATTTGGCAGGATCCAGGTCTTTGATGACGGGTTCTCTGTTCAGGTAGGTGGCCCAGTAGACCAGGTTGAAGCTGCTGAACAGCACAGGGAACATGATGCGGGATATGCGGTCGATCTTACTGACGCTGTTGAAGGTTTTCTTGTTCTGCTCGGGCTTGGTCTCGGACGTGTTCTTGTTGGTGTCGTTCAGAGCGCACTTGGAGATGGTCGGCAGCGTGGAGTCCTTGGTGATGTTGGGAGCGTAGTTGGCCACGGCTACAGCGTACGCGTTGTTCTTCTTCATGATGGCGGCTTCTTTTTTCTGTCGGGACAATCACCTCAGGGTTAGACTCATTTTGAACTCAGTATTTATGAATGCAAAGTTGATACTACAGTGCAAGTTAAATACACATACTGTAACTTTACTGTAATGGCAGCCATGATACAGGCGGCTCCAAATGTGCTAAATGTAATTTCTCGTTGACGGGGAAATCTGGGTCTGACTTTCACAAAATGTAAGGTGTTAATGCGTCATCTATATTTGTAAACCGTCCATGATTTGACTAAAACATATTTCTGCTTTATATCCGTCCTTAAAAATTGAGTGGATTGGTCCGTAGTGATCTTTGTTTACATAGAATGTATGTTTTGTATACTACAAATATTCTCTGTTTTAGGTCGTTCAAAACTAAATGTGCTTTGTCTGGATTTAGTCCATGCTGACCCTCCACTCCCACACTACCATCCTGATCAAATAATCAAGAAGCCTCCCCCCCCCCCCACCCTGACTGTGAATGGTTGTGATGGACCCTTCCAGAGGAGCGTGTCCCAGCTCTATACCTTGTCATTGACGACACTTTTCCCGTCCCACGCCCAGCCTCTCTTGGTGAAGTAGTTCACAGTAGCAAACTCGATGAGCGCCGAGAAGACGAAGGCATAGCACACAGCGATGAACCAGTCCATGGCTGTAGCGTAGGCCACTTTAGGGAGCGAGTTACGAGCGCTGATACTCAACGTAGTCATTGTGAGGACTGTCGTGACACCTGAAAGAGACAACCAATCACAATCACACCACCAACATAACTGAAAAATAGAACTCCGTGTGGACAAAACATTATAAGACATAATTGTGCAAAATGTCAAATCCACGGTATAAAGCTCTAACACCAAATCTGCCACAGTGAAATGAAACAAAGGGAAGATTACCAATCATAAATTAGGATGAGGAGGCGGAGCTTATGGAGGCTGTTTCAGAGACAGACCCCTAACCAGAGGCTTCACTCATCGCTGTGTGAAGGGAGACACTAACACAAATAGGTGGACTCTTTAATAATACGAGCACTGCAGGCCGAAAGCAGGGTTACAACACGTGTCAGATAGTGTACACACACACACACACACACACACACACACACACACACACACACACACACACACACACACACACACACACACACACACACACACACACACACACCCGCACACACATGTACCAACTTATTGGAGCTGCAGGTCATGTTTAATAGCTTTCTATCACACAGTGAACACGTCAATACCCACGGTAAGAGGATAATGTGCTTCCATTTTGAGGTTTCTTTCCCCCTTATACACACACACACACACATTTGAGTGGTGACTTGATATCTTGTTCTACAGAAAGATCTCTGCTGCTCTGGCATCTTTAATCATTAATCACATGAATCTGTCCTCCCTACCTTTTATTTTACTGTCTCATAAACTGTCCAGCGATTGATTTTACATCACTTTACAGGAACTATAAAAGCAGCTTTTGCAGCATGCTGAACAGTTCGACAAATGCAGAACAACAGGATGTCAAAGATTAGTCTTTTCTTTCTTTGTGGAAAGTTTGAATAAAATGTTGAATTTCAGAACTCACCAAAGACAGTTCGCGCTGGCACGGACTCTCTATTGAGCCAGAAGGAGACCTGTGAGAGGATGACCGTCATGATACAGGGCAGATACGTCTGGATGACAAAGTAGCCAATCTTCCTCTTGAGGTGGAAGTGAGCCATCATGACTGTGTATTCACCTGAGGATGAAGAGGGAGATAAAACGCTGAGCAAGCATTGGACAACTTGATCTTTTGATGAGAACAGAGATTACAAGCTACAGAAATTATAGGTGTCACTCGTGTTATATGTATAATGCATCCATCATGAAAGAAGGGATCCAGAGAAATGAGGAATAATCTCTCTGATTTATTAATGTGTCTAACTGTTCCTGGTGGAACAAATAAACAGGCCGCACAAAGTGTTTCATTATGCAGAGGCTGAGCTGTGTTTGCCTGTCAGACGTCGCTTTGATCACTCAGTGTGTTGCTTCCAGCTCCTCTGTTTTTGTGGAAAATAATAATGGGGGGGGTTTGTCTTTTAGTAAAAGAGTCCCTTGGTTGCTCAGTACTGAAAATGATCCTTCTGTTGAGCAGTCCAAGGTCACTTTCACACAGCACTCCTGAAGAGTTTCTGAGACTTTAGAGGTGAGCTGCATGGTGAAATATTTTACCCGACTTTTTCCTGCCAGCCACTGAATGAAATTTCTGCAAAAGATGTGAGGTGACCTGCTATGTGCAATCTCAGCAGGAAAGCAGGTAATGATGAAGCAGCTTCATACTCTTTTCTTCTCACCAGTACTCTGTGTTCTCCTTTTCTGATACTGTGAATATGTCCAATCACACCTAGTGTGGATGTGAAGGTAAAAACTGTTATCCGAGCATTACTGTGGCTTCCACTGCACCCCTTTTAGTAATATATCACGTTTATAAATGGAACATTTCCATTGTGATAGGCCTACATCATAACGGTGGACGCACTCTGACCTTTCAACTGACACCTCATCTGGCCAATTAAGACCTTCCAATCACCAATGAAATTCTGAACATGTGGAGACACGGCTTCAATAAATGACTTGCATCAAGAAAGCCAGAATAGCGTTTCTAATGGCAAGAGATCTGTGACAAACGGCTGCCTTATTTTAACAGATGTACGCTCGTTTTAAGGACTTTTGGAAGAATTCAACACATTCGGAAACTGCAACGTCTCAGCTTTCAAAAGAGACGTTATTTGTGCTTGTCGTCCAAACTGTTCAAGAACAGCATCCAGTTTCCTCGGGGTATGTCAGGATAGGCGTTTTAGGCACATTGCTACAGGATCCGTAACTAATTTGTACTCAAATATTCTTAAACCAATGATTCATGGCCAGTCTCTAAATAGAAAGGCCGTTTTTTTATGGAGGGATGGGGGGGATCAAGCTTTGTTATTTCACAGCTTTGGCGGTAAACAATTCCTCCTCTATCCAACCGGAAACCTCTCCCGTTGTCAGGGACGTTTAATGAGGCAACTCAGGGTGGTTTCAACGGCAGGCTGTCCTGAAACGTTACAGAGTCAAGAGTGAACTTGAATCAAGATGTGTGAAAATGGTTGCAGACTTTATGGTAAAAAATGTTTTAATTGTTAGAAAACCCAAACCTGTTTGTCTGACTTGAAATGTGTGCATGATGCTCACCTGTGCTGGATTTGATGGTCTCGTTCCCCACAGTCTGACCCATCAAGTCGTACTGGTTGAGTCTGGATCCATCAGGCGCTACTTCCACAGACTGGGAGGCGTTACGAGTCCAGATGTAGGTAACCTCTGTCTTTGTGTAGGCATCTAATGGGCAGAGAGAGTGAGGAGACGCCGATGAACACACAGATTATGTAACACTCCGAGCAGTTTATTAAGGTTTAAATGACAGAGATCAAACAAGCACCTCCATCAACTCCTACACAGAGAAGCACTCATGATGAGGGGGTTTCCACTTTGTCTCAGATTCTCTGTTTGGCTTATTACTGTGTGTTGGGTTCATCCTACTTTGGTCTAATGTGTACCTGTGCGTTTCCTTATTATGTGCCTTTGACTAGTTTGGATGCAAACCCAACTAAGTTGAAGGAAACATATTAAAGCCAAAGTTAACATAACATAATAAGTTAAAATGACTCTTAGCCATTTAGCTGTTTTCTTCCAACTGGTTTCTTTGTGTGAAAATGATTGTATAACCTTAACCCTTAGCACAGTTATATTATGAACATCAGATTTTTCAGGACAACCCAGGCTATCAGAATATGACTGCTGCAATGATGCCTGATGACTGTTTTAATAGTTATACGACCATGAAGACAACATAAAAAATCCAATTAACTTCTGAATACGGCTCCCTAGAGCCTTCATTATCAGGACAAAAAAAAATGGACTTGAGCTTGTATAGATCTTTTCTAGTCTTCTGACTACTCCAACAGGAGGTCACACCTACAAGTTCACACCCTGATGGCAGAGGTTTCTATGTTAAGTGACCTTCAGTATTAACGAGGCACAGTGGTACACATTCCCAAGGACACATCGGACATGTAGCAGCAGGAGCTGGGGATTGAACCCTCAACCTTCCTATTGAGTGACGACTGACTTACCAACTGAGCCACAGCCGACGCCCCAGAAAATGAGACCTAGGGCGCACTCACACTACGCTGCAGTAGACCACTGATTCTACCAACTGAGCAACAACATGCAAACAAACTCTGAATGCCCACCAGGCGCCTGCCATACAACCCTCTCCGTGTGTAAATCAAGATGGCAAGATGGTGTAAAGGTAAAGACTGTGTGTAAACATTTCCTTCTCTTAATTTCAGCCGTGGAGGATTATTTCTTTCTTTTCAACGGTCACATAATCATGTCTCTTGTTGACCTTTGGCTGCTACAGATTGGACGCTACCGTCAAGAAAAACAAGAGAAGAGGAAATCAGAGCATGTGATTGGTCAACAGGAAGAATGGAGCTTATTGTAATTTCCTGTGAGGGTCACAATGGTGGTTTATTTATCATGATAGATTTACTCTATATTGGCTCCAAATAAACACGGCTGGGTTAAAAACGTCCTGGAAGGGATTTAATTGCCTGGAGCCCTCCATAGACCAGCAAAAGGGTTAGCTTACGATCACAATAGCCCCCATAAAGATCCGTCGTACGGTTCCAGAGATATTAAAAACAATACAGATGGCACCCCAATGGACTCCCCGGGGTTTTAAATGAAACAGCAGGCGTAGAGCTGCAGAGAACACGAAACACTTACAGCTTCCAAACTTGAGAGGACACGAGTGGAAGTCCATGGGGAAGTCTTCAAGGTGCATCGGGCACTCAGCTTGAACGGTCAACCTGAAGCATACATACATGAACACACAGAAAGTAATTAAATCCTTACAGGAACACGGATGAATCGAGATTTAAAATGTTTCGCCTCATAATGGAGAGATGTTCACACCTAAACCGCCACTTGTTAAAAATGTAGCATGACTTAAAAGGTGATTTAAGCGTCTACCTCATGGTGTAGAGCAGGGTTCCATCCTCCATGATCCTCAGCAGCTTGTTGGGCATGGTCATGTTATGGGCCACAGATTTCTTGCCGTTATGGAAGAAGGTGTCCGGGGTCCAGATCCTACTGGCCATCAGGTTGTTGAGTGGCAACGTGTTCATCGGCCCCTGGAACTTTAATCGCTCATCCTTCCAACTCTGACGGAAGAAAACATCCACAGTGTACTCCTGAGAGAGAGAGAGAGAGAGAGAGAGAGAGAGAGAGAGAGAGAGAGAGAGAGAGAGAGAGAGAGAGAGAGAGAGAGAGAGAGAGAGAGAGAGAGAAGAGAGAGAGAGAGAGAGAGAGAGAGAGAGAGAGAGAGAGAGAGAGAGAGAGAGAGAGAGAGAGAGAGAGAGAGAGAGAGCAGTGTTAAATAGATCCCTGTCCCCCTGAGGACAACGTGGGGTTGAATTGTCTTGTCACACCAGTTTCAGGGTTCGTGATCAATGATGTTCTGTATTGTTCACTTTGAAGATCTCAGTAAGCCAGCAGGGGAAATGCCATGACTCTAACACTCACATGGATCGTGCTTATCCTTGGTCTTTAAAGGAAGAATGTGCAACTTTTTGATAAAGTAGATGTCGCCCTTGAGCACCAGCATTAAACCAAAAACAAACGGCTGTTTGGCGACACCTCCGCTATTCTGAATCCTTCGCTATCCTCCAGAGACACACCTCCAACCCCTCTACACTCGCGTTCACACAAAGGAGTTATCAATTGGAACGCACCATAATTAAGCATTAAGCGCTAAGTGTAAGCAGCAGACAAAATTGTCCTTATCTCGAGCTGCATTGTTGTGTTAGCAGGCTAATGTTAGCGCTCTTTAGTTAGCTCGTAGATTCACACTGCATGTAAATTTACACAGAACGACTGATGAAACCCTTAAAAATAATCAGTGAGTACAGTATGTTATTCTTCTTTTCTCTATAGTTCCTCAATTAAACAGCCTTAACACGCAAGGGGATCAGTGGGCCGGCCGTCCTGTCCATGTAAACACGACTCTGACGACATCACAGCGAGCGGGACTCGAGCTTCTGACTCACTGTAGACAGTCATGACTCAGAGAGTTATTTACAGATTCCTGCTGTATTTATGTGTAAAATGTTGCACATTCTGCCTTTAAGACTTTATTTTTTTCAAATGAAGTGCTTGGTAGTTAATTAAACAGTTTCTTAAAGCTCCTCCTCTACAGGTTTCTAACCAATCAGCAACCTCCAGTGTTGAAATTGAAGCCAATATGAAAGTTCAAAAACGCTGAACTTTGTGTCATCTATTTCTACTTTGAGTGAACTGATCCTTTAGAGCACAGTTCATCTCGAGTGACGCTTGAACAGAGCTGTGTCATCCCTCTCTCATGAATAATACCATCTCTATTAATACTTATAGAGGTGTGTGTGTGTGTGTGTGGGGCGGAGGGGGGGGGGTACACCGCTTCCTAAATCAGGCGCGTCCCCTTGTCTTGTTGGCTCCACTTTTTTCTTTTTTTGGGTGAATGCAGCCCGGCCTATAGTTCGGCACCTGGCCGGGTTCAGACCTGACTGTCAGTCTCAGATCCAGCTGCTCCCGGAGGCAGAATGTCAGACAAGGTTTACATCACAGAGGTCGTCAGTCCGTGCGGCCGAGCGGAAACATCTTTCTCTCACTCTGCCTTTCTCATTACTGTTCAGCAAAACTAGAAATCATATTACGACATGGCACCACGTTGAGTTCTGTCCTTTAGTCAGCAAACAAGTTCATAATCCTCGCTACTGCCAGAGGTTTTTTGTTCCCTAATTGTCGTTGTTGTTCATGAGAGAGAGAGCTATTAGGACATTTTGAAGGTGTTTGCTTAAAGCCGTGCATTAGAGATGAAAGAAATACACACAGATCTGACTCCAGCTCCTCCCGTCTGTGGGAGTTTACAAAGGAAACATTTAGGAAAATCAGCAATGCTCCGTCATGAATTCACATGTACAGTGCGATCACTCAGGTCCTGCTTGACAATCGGGCGGTATGAGCACATTAATCGTGACCTTTGGCCGCGTGTTGTTAACGTGGGACATGACATTTCACCACAATATTTGACGATTGTACAGTGTATTCCTGTACCCTTAGGGTGTCACGTCTCAGGGCTAGTGCTATAAGTCCCTTTTGTATCCCCTGTGTTTTATATGTATAAAGGTTTATATATACAACAAAAAACAACCGTTCACAGTCACAGTCACACCTACAGGCAATTAAGAGTCACCAATTAGCTCGTCTTTGAAAGTTAATTGGAAGCTGTCGTATACTGAGAGAACCCAAGTATGTACGGGAAGAACATGCTCACAGAAGGGCCTCAGTCTGTTAACCGCTCACCACTGCATGCATGAAACAAAATAACATTTTAAATGAGAGATTATCTGTGTTGTGAATCGAAAAATTGAGGGTTTTCAAACTTCTCGTGCATGTGTGTGGTCCAACATACAAAATAAGCAGGTGTATCAGATTTTTTTTTTCTCTCACAGTGTTTACCTGAGCAACACAGACGGGACATAATAATCCAGCAATAAGAAAACCTTCACAGACACGGAGGCAGCAGCAGCAGCAGCAGCAGGGGGCCGTTCAATCTATCAGGCAAAGGGAAGAAGAGGTGTGTGTGTGTGTGTGTGTGTGAGACTGTGTGTGCATGTGTGTGTTCCTGTGTGGGAGATGGGTGTGTGTGCGTGCCTATCAGAGCCGAGCTATCAAAGGCAGAGAAAAAAGACACTGTGGTGGAGTGAAATTATCTGCTGCAAGTTTGATGGAGACATGGCATGAATAAAACATGAGAGCGTCTCTCTCTCTTTTCTCTTTCTTTTGAAGGTGCTGTCTCGATCACGACCACTTCCATCCCTCTGCCCCTCGCTTCTGTGCCACTTAAATATTTGAGGGAAGAGGAAGGGCGGAGTGAGGAGGGGGCGGCTGGGTGGTGGCTCGGATTGTGATGGAAAAACTGAGGAAAGCTTTTAAGGTAAAAAGCAGAGGGTTTGTGTGTGTGCGTGTGCGTGTGCGTGTGCGTGTGCGTGTGTGTGTGCGTGTGCGTGTGTGTGTGTGTGTGTGTATAAAACTGTTTAAACCATTTAAACATGGTTCAAACATCTGGATCAACCTCAGATTTGGATTTTTCTTTTATACTCTCTGCCTTTTTAAGATTCAAATAGTAGCTATTGCACACTTTTACATACATTTAAGATATTGTGTATTTCAAGATATAAGAAAATGGTTTTAATTTGAGGGCTGTAAACATTATTAACACTGTGCTACATTTTAAAATGTAGTAAAAAATATATTATATTATTATTATAAAAATATTACAAAATGAGGTGCCTGTAATCAATGATGCTAAAGGTGGTAAAGTTGTTATCTACACGTACACATGACGGCTGCCTCGCGTCCACTGCAGTGGTCAAAAATATGCGTGATGCAGTATACAGATGGCCAGTAGGGGCAGTGTTGAGGCAGGAGGATGGAGTGGTGATGTGACAGAGATGTGACTCACACATTTTGTGGACAAACTCATAAATCAAGTCCACAATCATCCGCGCCTGAAAGATGGGTCACTGAAACGGAACTGTGAAAAAAACACGCCTGTTCAAAATATCTGGGACGGATAAGTTCTGTCTTAGAAGTCGATGTCGAGACCTTGTCAAACTGATGGAAACAAGATCGCTGTTACAGTGAGCCTGTTAACTGGCGTCTGAAAAGCGGAGTGCTGCATTTGTAGTTTTTCTTTAAATACATATCTGACTGGGGGGGGGGGGGCAAAGTCCTGCAAGCGGGTGGCCCAGGTTTGAATCCATCCTGTGACTCCTTTCCTGCATGTCGTTCCATGGTTTCTGACTCTATCCACTTTCTTTTCTCAAAAATAAAGGCACAAAATGGATCTTAAATGAATCTTAAAATACATATCTTTCGAGTATGTTGACAACATATTGAAAAACTACATTAAGAGGCAATAAGAGGACACTCTCCTTTCTCAAAAGCTGCTGTAACTACAACAACCTAAGGATGCATTCAGCTGGACGTCACCAGTTACCATGGTCACAATAAACTATACTTCAGGACCGTTACCCCCATGCACAGAGGAAATGAGCTGTACTGACGGTGTGTTCTGGCCTGAGCTGATCTGATGTTATTTTTGATTATTGTTATTTATTACATGAGTTCTGAACTCAGAATTACCACCATAGTAACATCCTCGAGTGTCGCCATGTTTGTGGTTTACCCCCACACATCAGGTTGGCCTGAGCTCTCTGGTGTGTCTGAAATCATAAAAAATAATTTACAACTCTATCCTGGCTTTCTTTAGAGTTCAAGAGGACTATACGGTGAGCTCATTGGACAAAATGAAAACCTTCCCTTAATTAATCATTGATGTTTCTAGCGGAGTGCATGATGGTATGAAGTGCTGGATTAGAGACCACTGGTTGTACATTTCTCTTCATGATGCCGTGTGTGATATTGCAAGAAGAGCAGGAATAATAATCCTCAGTGACATCACACAGCAGTGAAAGACAGCGGACCTACAATAGATGAGAGTTTACAGAGAGCAGTGACTGATTGGTGCTGGTGTCAGGCGGGTAGCTGTGATTGACACGTCGCTGCAGCCATATTAAAACATGCAGGACTATAACATGCAGCATCCAATCCCAAATCTTCATTAGACTCAGAATAATAGGCTGTCACGACGGACGGCCACTATATGATTATGAATATGTTGAATATGTAACACATCGAATCAGAGCAGCATGGCGCTGAATGATGGGATCTCATTTTTAATAACACAGTCTGACCCCTGCCTTGTCATCACTCTCCTGGTTGGAGTGGCTCGGTTACCAATGGCAACAGGACAAGCAGCGCTGACAGGTCTCTGTCTGGGAGATTTTATCTGCTGGATGTGAGTAATTACATCTGAGCCGACCCAGCAAAGGAAACCCGGAGATTTTTAAAAAGCACCATGGGTTTGCTTTTTAACGGTCAAATCTTCAGAGACAAAAAGGTTTTCACAGTCTGCTTCTTCTTAATGTGGTCGATTTTAATTGTTTGGTAGTCATGAGAACAAGTATGCCATTGATTTTGTGTCTACACACTTTGAATAAATTAACCGTATAAAAAAGACCGTTCACATGCATAGGCCTGTTTAGTTGATTTAAAACGGCCAGGACCTCGTTCTTTCTTGTAACATGAGACTAAAGTCTCTCATGTCATCATGTTGTTAGGACACAATTAGGGAAATAACATCATATCACAGTCTCAGAAACGGGACTGTGATATGATTGGATATTATCCAAAATTGGATTTTAGAAAAATCCAATTTTGATACCTGGAGAACTCAGGAAGAAAACAGAATACTGTGGCATTTATATTTATCTTACCCCGGTTTCTCAGAGCTGCTGACTTCCTGCGCAGAATCTGCTTCATCGAAGTGACAAAACAAACATGGCGGCGGCAACAAGAGTGTCTTACTTCTAGAGCGAGTAATCAAAGAAGTAAATATAAATGGAAGTTTTAGATGACAGAGAGAGAATCAAAATGCCTCTTCATGTCTGTAGTGAACAGGCTACAGGGCGCCAGTTTCCCAACATGAATGTTGGAGTAACTCAGGTCACGTTGGACAATACTCGAGAAACATGACTCACTGACATCCAACTGAACCTTTGGCCTCAGTGACTGATTAGTGTTTTGTTTTTTTTAAAACCTCTCTTAAAATATCCCCATGCTTTTGAGTATCAGTTTGATAGTTTGATCCAACGAGCTCAATCCTCCTGATACATCCTCTCGTTTAGAGCTCTTAATATTTTCATCAGTCTGTGTCTCAGAGCCTCCAACGTTTCTCAGGCTGTCAGGCTGCTTCCCGTTCACACCTGAAGCAAAAAGCCTTTAAGCCTTTTCCAAACTAAGTGATACATGTTTGAAACGGCACATTTGTTTTGACAGCTTAGAGTGTGCAGTGGAGGCTTTCAGGGGACCTGAAGGCACTTTCACTTCAAATGTGTGTGTGTGTTTTTGTGTGTGTATGTGTGGTCTCAGCTCTTGAGAGGATGTTGCACTTTAAGGTGAGGTGTGAGACTTACCATATCTGTGTCGGACACCGGGCCGAAACTGGTCACATAGATGTCGGTCTTAACCTCCGTCACTCGGTCTGTGAAGACAAAGAACAACATTTGTTGCAGAAAAAAAAAAACACACAACCTCTGGAAGTCAGAGGAGACGAATGAGTTTAGGAAGCTGACGAAACAAAGAGCTAGAAATCTATTCCTCAAACTCTGTTGTAAACTTTGTTACTTCTGAAGTGCTTCAGTGTTGACATCAAGATTCACGTACCCCAAACCCAAATTCTAAAAGGTCGGGTCATTGTTTAAAAAGTGTAATCAGAAAAACATGTCTAACATTGAAACTGAGAAAATGTTATCTGTTTTTGGAAAGAGAGTGTGCGGAGCTGCAAGGACCCATAGTGGCTCTGTAAAGCTCAGCCTCTTTTTTGTTTTTGCATGTTTGCATTTTGTTGCTTTCATTTTCTTTCAATAATATTCTTCTTTTTTTCAGGCCTGCACTGTACATATTGCAGCACCTGTTTTGTTTTTGCCACCCACTGTAAATAAATTTACTGGTGCTGCATTTATGAACATCTGCCACATTTTTCTAACCTAAGCCACAGGGCCATCCTTTAGAGGCACCTTCTTTGAAAATAAAATGTGGAATTTTGTTAACTGAATCCAGGCATGCATTATGCACAAAGACAAAACTTTGACTGCTGACATTTCTATGCAGCACTTGTGAACGGTTCCTGACACAGTATTTTGGTACAAAAAGTTTTCAAGAATTCAGGTCAAATGAAACTTTCTTGTACATTGTTTGCAGAAGAAAAAAGGAAAATATCTCTTTGACTGATTTCCAAAGAAAAGAAAAAAAATGCACTTTCTCTGTCCTTAGTTCCTCCATAATCAAACACCATGTCAGTGTTTCTAATTAGTGTCATGATAATATAAATGCAGAGCGAGCTGCAACATTTCATCTTGTGTGGAGAGACCGAAACATGAATTCAACTTTGAGTGATTTCTGCGTGTGCGTGCACATACAGCACGGACGCTGCAGTAATCTGTCAGTCGTTCACTGCCTGAGGTGCTGAAGGTGGCATCAACATCATTTACTCCACGTCTCACATAAAAAACCATGAGCTCTGCATGGATAACGACTGTTTTTTTTCTCTTCCAGATACATGATGTCATTAGAGCTGTAAGTTGAACACAGCCCATAATGTTCATACATGATAAACACCACACTTAAAGCTTTCTGCAGGTATATTATTATTTCATATAAAATGCAATTTCAGCAACATCATATTGGATGTACTGAACCCGGACGCGTGGATCATAAGTCTATATGATGCTTTAAAACCCCTACAGGGGGCAGCAGTGGCAGGTTAATGGAATAGCTTTTAGAGTCTGTTTTTGTGTTAAGTCGAAAATACAATGTTTTTTTTGACTGATTTGTTTTGTAAAAGTAAAGGAAAAACAAGTGTTTGGTTAAGGTTTTTTTATGGGGGCGTTGTTCCTTTATTAGATAGGACTGCTGCAGAGGGGCAGGACATGTTGGGAGGAGAGAGAGGAGAGTGGAGACGACCTGCAGCAAAGGGCTGAGGTCTAATTTGAACCCACAGCCGCTTCATGACAAAATCTTTGGACAAAACTATACGCAAAATGGCATGCGGCACAGTGATCGTTTCAACGTTTCAACTCAGAGCATCAGCAGAGAGACACCGAAGGTATCTACAGAAAAATATGAAAATGACCACCGCCCTCTTCAGCAGGAGGAACAATGAGAAAGCTCTGCGACATGCATAAAATTAAAATCTCTCTGGCGGCCTCCATTGTGCAGCTAGCTGCTTTTTTTTCCTCGTCATGGAAGATAGACCAGTGTCAAGAAATGAGCTCCATCGGTCCAACTAAAGAAGAGCAAACCCCGACCAGCCAAACCAAATCAGCATCCGAGTCACTCTTTAAAGGCCACATGTTATCATTCTAGAACCAGAGTCTACAGGATGGAGATGTTTTGAGCTCGACTGCTTGAACTACTGACTCCCAGATTCGACTCATGGTTCTCTCTCAAATGCAGTTTGTCGTGTTTTGTAAATTGTGCTTCGTCTCTCTTTATGTCTCTGTCTGTAACTTTGTGGGTTTTTTTGGTGACCTTCTCGTCCCGGTCTCTCTTTGAAAAAAAGGTTCTCAATCTCAGTGGGACAAACATGGTTAAAAAAAAAAAAAAACATCTTTGTTTCCTTGCTTTGATGTCTAATCATTTAGGTACCTTGTCTGGTTGAGGATGGCGTTCTAATGAACGAGTTCCCTTGAACGCCCCATGCTCCACCAGGTGTTTTCAAACTGGACTGTACCAAGTTGGACTCTGGGCTGGGGGAGGATGTAATGCCATTTTCATTTTTGGGATTTAGTTTTAAACCATCTGAAGTAAGAGCAACTCTCTTGCTTGATGAACATGCTGTAGAGCTTTTTTAAATGTAAAACCTGAATTGAAAGATTGACTTTTGTCATTGTTGAAATATATTCAATTATCTGTTCCAACTTCCTGGTTTGTAAAGTGGTTTAGCCTGCGAGTATTTAAACTACTGCTGGCAGCACTCAGGCTTTTTATGCGTCAGCTGGGGAACTCTTCTTTGAAGTAAGGTCATTTCCTGTTATGTGTTGATGCCTGTTTGAGATTTGTTACTTCTGAGAACAAGTAAATCTGAGGTCTGATCCTTGTTTCTGCTCTGTTGTGATAACTTTGGTTCTCTAAACCCCAAAGAACTGCTGCTTCACATCTTCATCAAGAGAGTTTATAATCTGCACCCTCAAATTATCAGAAAACACTGGGAAAGGAAATATTTACTCACACTACAAAAAGTTTCTTCCTCTGTAAAGCTTTAGAAATGTTTTCATTTTAGCAGAAAGTTAAAAAAATTAGATCGATAAGGATTTCCAGGAAAGTTTGTTTTTCATGAAAGCTGTAAGGTGGCCGGAAGCTGTATGGTCTAAACAAAACTTGCTGCTCGCTCTCTCTAACTCTCTCCTGTATATCCTGCTCCACAGCGCCCCCACAGGCTTGGAGCACTGACGTCATGAAGGCAGAACTTGCAGTGTTTCTGTATTTGCTGTTGTTTTCTTAATGTGTGTGTTTTTGGACTTTTTTTGTTTCTGTACTTGCAGAGATATTTATGTTAATGCAGTTGCTTTGCAGCGTGTTACAGCCGTTGCATTTGTTTCTATAGTTTGCATTTGCTTTAGAGTGTGCAGCATTTCAGAATATACTGCTCTTTTTCCTAAATGTAAGTCGTTTCGAGCATTTGTGCCTACGGGCCACCGCAAGGCTGTGACACAGAGCTGGAACTGCATGGCAGGACACTTGAAAGTAGATCTGTTTAAGGAGGGCTTTTACTTCTATGTTGGTAGTCAAATATCGCTCAAATAATTCAATTAAGTGGGGATTTAGACGTCACATTTCTGGCATTCTTTGATTATTATTTTCTAAAACTTGGGCTGATGAACACTTCTCATTTCTCAGAAAAGCTGCTGTTTTTATACTTTTTCCACCATGATCGATCACACTTTCTTCCACAGGTATACAGGTGTGAGAGCAGAGTTGTACTGTGTCCAGTGGAGATCTGCTGTGCCCATTAAACATAAAAGGGGAATCTTCTTTTAAAATTTAACACGATATGTGCATGGCTCCCTTCAATGCAGAAAACGGTATTTCTTAAAACCTGAAAAATTGAAGTATTTTAATCTAGAAAAAAACATCAGATTTTTTTTATTTTGATGAAAAGACTCAGTTAGATCCATTGACCTTTTTTTTTTCTTTACAAGCCAGGAAGGGTATAATGAAAGGGTGTTGTAAATTGCATCATGGGAAATGTAGGATTCAGCGTTCGGGGAGTTTGACACGTATTAAGTCAAGATTCTCAGCTGCTCAATTTGTATCATTCTTTAAAAAAAATATATCTATAATGTTCCCTCAACTGTAAGAAGTGAAATGGAAACTCATCTTTTAACCGGTGCACGATGATGAGTCATATCTTCGATCTTACCTCCGAGGCCCGGTCTCAGTCTGTTGTCGTATCCGTCCAGCAGACTGTCCAGGATCTTGGTGAAGGTGGTGATGTCTTTGGGGTTACGTGTTGTATTGGAAACTGCATGTGACCTAAATTAAAAACATGAATGTTATCTTTAAAGACACAGAGAAAGGTGAAATAAAACCCACACCAGTTACAAAAGTAGACTTCACTTAAGTGCTGCTAAGAAGTGTAGGTGGTGAAACATATTGATAATCTCCACCTACAATATCTAATCCATTTTATCCCCAGATTATTTCATACTAAACCTGGCAGGAATTATTGTGCACCACATTTCTGCATGTTAAATTATTATGTGCATTTTAAATGTTGTGCAAAACGTTAAATTCAAACCCTGAGGCACATGTTGTACATCACAGCTAATGGTCATGCTCTAACGCAGCTAACTCTAAATTAACTTTTAAAAGGAAGCTAAACACATTCTTGTGTTGTGAGTTGACAACTAATGAATAGCCAGGCATTTTAGAATCAGAAAGTAGTAGATTTTGTACTCTGCAATTTTAGCTTCTTCAGACTGAATTGATTTTTCCCTGTTTGGAGATTAGAGCAACAATATGAAGGAATTGGGTTTGGTGTGCTTTGACGCCCACCGGAGGTCTCTGAGTGTAACGACAGTGCAGTCACGCCTACGCCTCTTTGACAATGTTTATTGGATTAGAAGCACAGGGTGTGAAGCCAGCAAAGACACTGTGAGAAGTTACAACCATGTAGACTGACAAGGTTCAGTAATATGACCAAATTTTGCGAGAATCTGACTCTGCATGCGTTTTCAGCATTTTCATGTGGAGTTTGTGTGTGTTCATTCAACTGTTACCATGACGTCATTGGGCTGTGGCTAAATGGCTTCATTGGAGAGGCTACTTGATCATACTAGTTGAGGTACGTTTGTCAGGTTCATGAAGCTAATTTAAAGAACTATGAGAAAAGAGATGTCTTTTTGTTTTAAGATGGATTTATTTATTGTTTTGTATCGAACCTTAGACATACCTTTGGTTAGATTACTTTCTGCACCCGGTGATGCTGCTAAACATGACACGATAACGATGCAGCCTAATGTAACGTCTCAGTGTGTACTAAATAATATCTGCAGGGATGAACACTCTGCTTTCTGCTCGGTCTCTCTGTTTCTCTTCTTAACTTGGAAGAGTTGCATATTGTTGCTTTAATGAATTGGAAGCTCATATTGTTAAATGTTTATTTTGATATAGTATTTGTTCATCACAGGTCACACTGTGACATAAAATCAATCATCTCAACAACAGCCTCTCCTGGTTCACAGTTACTTTGTATTAACCTGCAGACACCTTAAAAAAAAAGCTCTTCTTCTCATTGAACTCCATCACAGCACTGCAGTTACCATCTGGGACACAACAGGGTCAAAACACACAAACCTGTTCCACCTCAGGCTGTTTCTAGATCCTACAGAGACACAGAGGGATGCGTCATACACTGTAAACCCCTAAACTACTAAATGCTCTTGTGCATTTAAAGATGCAATCCATAATGCACACATAATTAGTCGTTATTGTTGTTTGCCTACAAATTGTCTACTTTATCAATGCATGACATACTCTGACAATTAACACTCATATTTTCTCAATAATAATGCAATTCAGTGATGCTTTGCTTATTCCAGATAAAAAGAAAACAGAGGATAGTAGCCTAATTGGGGTATAGAAAATCATCAAGAGACCAAATGCACCTTTCTACTCTTTTATTTTACCTTCTAGTCTCAGTTTAGAATATCATTCTTTTCTCGGCTGTTTTTAAAAGTAAACTAAATGACCCGAGCAGTGGTTTTGATTGCACATTTGTCATGTTTTCTTTCTGAAGACTGCTGATCTGAATCGTTTAATTTAGACTATATCACACTTATACTCTTTTTATTATTCCAGTTTAGTCAAACCCTGTCAGGTCTAATGCATACAAAATGGATTGTTAATGTTGCAATGAGGATTACAAATTAATTAGTGGATTTGGAGTTTTAGAAACGACATGCCTGATACTCCCACTTTTAAGCTCAAAGTGCAAGAACAAGGGTGGATAGAATTGTGTGCCAAATCTTAAAGTTGAGATTTATTTTAAAAAGAATGGATGCTAAATCTGATATCGAGAAGCCGACATTCCCAGAACGTCTCTTCAATGTTTACGAGGCTATTTAAAATATTAAACTATCAGCACTGTGCTTTTGATATGAAAAAAAGTCCTTAAATTGTGATATTTCTCAATGAGTATTGGTGTGGCGCTCACGTGCTGAGCGCACAGAGAGCGGTGAGCAAAGATGTTTAAAATGTTTTACAATAGCCTAAATCATAATTTTAAAATTATTTTTTTTATATGAATGGTAGTAAACTTGACTCTTACAAAAGGTTTTTAAATATTGTCATGTGGTAAGCTCCGTTTACGCTGCCTGAGCGCGCGGTTAGTCTGCCGTGTGATTGGTAATATTTTCTCTGTTTATGTATCAAATACACACAACTGATCAAAACTTACCGTGTCTGCCAGAGAACGATCAAAGAGACCAATACAGGCACGGACTGCGAGCTCCATCGTCCTCTCATCGCTGAAGCCTGTAAACGAGACGGGAAACGCTTTCAGTGCGCGTAATTACACGGTAGAGCGACACAAGCACCTTACAGCGGTTGCAATTTAAGGGATCCAGCAGAGATGCAGCTGTCTACAGATATAACACTGGTTTAGTCTCCGCAAAAAAAATGTGTTTTTGTCGGTACAGTTAATCCATGACTCTTCAGAAGAACTCCGTCTCCAAGGTGTGTCCGAACAAAAAGCTTTTGTTCAATGTGTCCATGCTTGATTTGTCGAACGATGAACGCTGCCTACCTGACACGCGACAGGTGTCTCCGGGGTTGCCAAGAGAGACTGGGCAAGTAAAGACGGCGAAGAAGAACAAGCCTTACGCTGAAAATGAGAGTAGCGCGGAGAGATGTGGTTACTGTTCGTCCATTCTGTCAGCTCCTCCAACAGGGAATCCCCACAGTTCACCCAGACACTCTAACGTGAGAGCAAACTGTGCAGAGAGCAGCGCCCTGCTGTATTACAGCGCACTGATGGAGAAACACTGAGGCGGAGTGGTCCGTCTGTAGAGAAGCGCGCGTTTCCCTCGCAATGTGCTCTTTTCATTCGCGCGTCCAATTGCGCACGAAGGAATAACAACCATGCAAGTTGCATGAAGCGCGCACATGTGTCAATTCATGTCATTGATTTGAATCAAAACGACGGGGAAGAAAATAATCTGGACAACATGATGACTCAAAAGCAACCACTTAAAAGATCCAAAGCCACAACTGAGCAACATAGAAGGGAAGAAATTGTTGCTACTGTTCTACCTTACCAACAAACGTCGACCTCTAGCTTCTTTTGTTGTTCGTTTCCAACTATTTGTACTGCGTAGTTTAAATAGAATTATGGTATTTCAATGAAACCAGACAGAAAACATTTAGCAAAATCTGCACATCTATGCAGAATGACTGATGCACACTAAAACATTCCTTTCTGATTAATGCGTAAAATGACTCGTACTCTTGCATATTTTAGCACAGAAAAAAAACAAAAAGTACATAACTACACAACAGGTGGAATAAGGTGCCTTGGGAAGCCAATGTGGAAGGACTTTGCACCTGCATTTGCTCTCACCACCAACAGAGGGCGACCCCGATAGTTGCACAAAAGATGTCAGATTGTAAATCCTATTTGTAACTTGATTTAGGTTCAGGTTCATTACCTCAGAAAATATTTTCTTGCTGAGTTTTTTTTCCCCGAATCAATTGTTTCAAATCTTTAGCATAGCATGATGATTTTGTATGGTCCACGAGGAACAAATAGAAGAAGACAGGGTATGCTTCACACTGTGATTGACTATTTGCTGTTAACCAGGATGGAGGGGTAACAGTGTTTGATTCTCATTCAAATGTGATCTGTTCCACCCCAAAAATCCAAGATTGTGACTTTCTGTATGCAGTCTAAGAAGTGTTTTCATGTCCAATATGAACTGGCTTTTTAGTGCACATATGATAATGTACTGACAAATAGTTGGGAGCTTATATTAGCGGACCCTTGTCGTCCACTGATTCTTCTTTTTTCAAAGTACTGCTAAGTTTTAAAGGAAGAATGTGCAACTCTTTGATCCAGTAGATGTCACCATTGAGCACCAGCATAAAACCAAAACAAACTGCTGTTTGGACACATCTCCAACCCTTCTCTCCTCGCATTTGCACAAAGGAGTTATCAAATTGGATCGCACCACAATTAAGCACTAAGCGGCAGACAAAATTGTCCTTATCTCAGGCTGCATTGTTGTTAGCAGGCTAATGGTAGCGCACTTTAGTTTGCTTGTAGCTTCACGTTGTATGTACATTTCTAAATTCTAAAAACACTTGCGTGATGTTCAGATAAGCAGTGAGAACAGTATGTTATTTTTGTTTTCTATAGTCCCTCACTTAAACAGCTTTTATATGCAAGGGGAGAAGCCAGCCACCCCGTCCATGTAAACACGGCTCTAACAACAACACAGCCTGCAGGACTGGCACGTCTCACTCACTGTAGACAGTCATGACTCAGAGTTATTTAAAGAGGATATACTGGATTTCTGCTGTATTTTTGTGTGAAATGTTGCACATTCTTCCTTTAGTACGCCTAAGAATAAGAGTCACAGGAGTCTGAGTAAACTGTCACAAGATATCCAAAATAAAAAGCCTGAATTGTTTGAACACAGAACAAAAACAGCAGACAAGTAACTGTGGAAGCATCAAGACTTAAAAAGGTCGTAAACGTCTTGTGTAATAGACCCTGACGGCAGCAACCTTCAGACACAAGAAAAGCACAGTACAAACTCCTCAAACCACACAAGGGGAATATATAATCCTCTGGGTGGGCAGCTATCTCCTGCTGTCAGGGTTTTGGTGTCGGTTAAGATGCTAATGCTAACATATGTTTGTGTGTGGCTGCAGAGAAAGAACAATGCACTGCAATCAAACAGTGTACCTGCTAAAAGGTCAAGTTCTAAGGTATTTAGACTAGCAGCCATTGTCTGGGGAGTCCTTTTGTTTCATTGACATTTATTACAATGCAGGCTCTGATGCTTTGCTTCAGTCATAAATTAGAGGCCCCAAGAAGATTTAAACCGTCAATATGAGAGGGGCTGATAGGCCAAGAAATGTTGGTATGCTTGTGAGGAGAAGGGACAAAAAATTAAAATATATTCTAAAGTATGGTTTTCTTTCTGTGTTTTAACATGATATGATTTTTGTTATTTTAAGAATCTATATGAAAAAGCACCAAAGAGTTTTAAAAAATCTACAGAAGTTCAGTCATATTATTAACCCAAAGAGAGCTAGCGCTGTCTCAATTGCAAATATACATAGTGAAATGTTGCCAATGCATTTGTACAATTGCACAAGTTTAATTGCCAAAGCACAAATTACACAGTATTGGGTGCCCACAGTTTCTATTGTTGTTGCCCAGGGTAACCAAACAGGTTTATAAGTAATTAGATTTTTAATACTGTCTTATCAAAGTTTAAAATTCTGGTATTGTGACAACTCTCAGTTGTATTTTGGTTGAATTCAAACACAGCAAGAGACAAGATTCTGAAGTCTGAATGCAGGCAGGGGTCAAGCTTCTCTTGGTGCTTTCACACTTGCACAAAACTCTCCAAAATCTTTGTGGTGAGCTGCATGTGTGAACGCAAACAGCCAAATCTTTCACTTTGACATTACCTGTAATTTGTCCTGCCATCCTCTCTCTGGTGTGAGAACTCAGCAGGAAATATTCAGGAAAATTCCCTGCATGCAAACAGGAGGGGGTAGTGATGTGTATATCCTGCAGTCAGCCCACGTGAACAAGCAACTCAGGAAGATGTCAGGGGCAGTCCGTTTGAAATTTTCAGGATTGTATGTTTGAAAACAGTTTTCTAAAAACAAGTGTAACATCCTGTCTGGGTTGGCTATACCACATCTTACAATACACGGCATTGAGATTACAAGATAACCAAGAAAGCAGAATTCTTCTTCTTCGAGAGAGAGAGGAGGGATGCAGCCATGAGCTCTTATTCTTCTCTTTTAATGTGTCTGTTCAGATCGTGTACAAACACGCTTTATGCATGGTTGGACGGCACACAATCTGTCTGAAACAGGAACAGCTTACTGGAGTTTAAATGTGCTCTCCTAAAACATTCATATTTTGCTGTAAAAATGAAGTTACATGACGGGCACTCGTCAAACCATGAATACACTCTGCTTAAAATGCATCAAACTATTTTCAATGTGTACAGGAAGTGACATCTTGCATCATGACTTAAGTGTTGGTCTCACCAGCAATATTCACCCAACCATTTTCTCCACTCACCCATACCATCATATATGGTTACATGTTCTGTATTTTTAATGACATTGAAAAAGAGTTTTATAGGCCAAGGAACAGTCAGAAAAGGCACGTTTGTATTCTCTAACAAATTATTTATAGCTTTTCTCACAAAGCGAGCATACGGTTTTGGTTTGAGCTTGGTGGTCGTTGTTGGAGAGCAGAGCATAGTAGATGGCCTTGGGTCGATGGTTTGACAGTTTCCTGGATCTAGAATGGGCCTCAGCCACAAGCAGCATGGTTCACAAAGACCAGCCTCTTTGAATTGGATTTGATCAGACAGCCTTGACTGTAGCATTTGGGACAGCGTAGGGTTCAGATGGCACATCAAAGCACATGAAGTATGCAGGGAGTAGTTTCAAGCTGAAGTGGTGCGGAGAGTCTGGACACTGCACAGCTTCCTGTGTGAGGAACAGACATTGGACAGGTCTTGGTGCGCTTTACAAAGTGCAGTCTGAAAGCAAACTGAACCAGGTTTGCTTTCAGAATGCACTGAGTACTTCATATGTGAAAGAGACCTTAAATGAGGCTTCAAGCTGTCCATCACACAAAACCGCAATGCTGTAAAAGGCTCGCCCAGGACGTACCTTCACTAGAAGGACCTCCTGTTTGTGGGGAAGACGCCGTCTCTTGTAGCGGCTCTTTCGTTAATGCTTAGTCATTGGCACAGTCATACCGACCTGAACATGAAACACTACAGAAGGAACACAGCATGATGGCAGAGACATTGAAGTATTCTTGAAAAAGAACATGGTAGGACTCCGCTAAAGAAATACATCGTCTGCCATCTCCCGATCTTTTACTCTTGAATGCATCAGTTTGACACTTGTCATGATGTAATAAGTGATCCTTTGTTGTACAGTAGAATCAACCTGTAAAGCTGCACACTGCTGAATGAATTCAACGCTCCCATTCAAGTTCAGCACTTGAAGACATGCAGCAATACTTGCTTGCAGGTTTCCAGTTTTAGGCAGTTTGATTAAAACACAAATGAATTTAACATGCAGCATGTGGCGCAATGCCTACTAATCAGGCAGCTGTCCTAGTTTACTGTGTTCTGTGGTGGAGTTAATCCTAAAAAAAACATCAATTTAATTTATACATAAAAACAACAGACACACTGTAGGATCCAGGGCTGTAGAGCAGTTTCAAACTCTTCCTGCTTATTCCATCTTTACTCCAATTGGTTGAA